TTTTGGGTTCATTGAGAACATGGTTGTTGTTCAATAATAAAATTATTCCTCAAAAATACAACTTGCCTAATAATTCTGCACTCCCTGTATATCAAACTCAGCAAAAAAAAATGTTGAATGCTTTCTCCAATCCTACGCAGTTGTTGACATTTTGCATTTTCATAATCCTTCTTCAAGGGCACATGCCTACTAATCTCCTGTCCGCAATAGGTTCTCTCGGATAGAAATGAACTTGCAATCATCAATCTATTGTTATTTTGGACCACGCTACCCTAGTGATGAGAATGCGCATCTTTGGTGCCAGTTGCATATATGGCCAAAGGAGGATTAATCCCCTTTTACTCTCTCGCATGAAACATTAATGAATTTTACTAAATCTGAGATTAGAGACTTTCTTGAACAAAACCAAACCCCTGGGATGTCTTTTTCAGTCATATGGGAGCCACTGAAAGCCTGTCCTCGGGGCCAAATGATCTTTTTCTCAGCAGCAAGAAAAAAAGCTGATACTGAGCACTGGAAACAGGTATTAGATGATATTTTGCAGCTAGATATGAACTACAGTCACCCACCATTGGAAAGCATCCTTAAGGAACGTCAGGCCCTCAAAAATGAATTTGATCTTATTTCTACACAGAAAGTGGAGTGACTCATCCTAGAGTCTAGATGTACTTTCAATGAGGAGGGAGAAAAATTGGCACAGTCTTAGCAAATCAAATACATCAAAAGTCATCCAAACAGTTCATCTCTGAAATAGCTGATGAACAGGGCCTACCGACCACGCAGAAATCAATTCCTGTTTCCAACAATTTTACTTTGATTTTATACACCCCAGAGTCAAGCCAAGATGAGTCTGCTATGGACACCTTCTTTAATCACCTCAATATAACCACAGTTGACCCTAAACTGGTCACTGAACTCGAAAGTGACCTCTCCATCCAGGAGGTCTTGATGACGATTGGTGGAATGCAAAGCAGCAAGTCCCCTGGACTACATGGTTTCTTCTTTTGAATTTTTAAAAATGCTCTTTAACGAATTTGCAAGTCTTTTCAGAGTCCTATTCATCTGGCACTCTCCTTCCAACTATGTGGGAAGAGGTTATTTCACTCATTCTGAAAAAGAATAAAGACCCTCCCCAATGTAGCTCACACCAGCCGATTTCACTGCTAAACAATGAGGCGAAGATTCTTGCAAAAATTTCATCACAGTGCTTAGAGGTTGTGTAACCAACAATCATTTCCACGGGTCAAACTGGCTTTATCAAAGGCAGATACTCTTTCTTTAATGTTAGACATGTCTTGAGTATAATTCATGACTCTCCCTCAACCGATACACATGAAGCCCTACTGTCACTTGATGCTGAGAAGGCCTTCGACCAGATGGAGTGGGACTACCTCTTCTATACTTCGAGCAAATTTGGCTTTGGCCCCGATTCATATCATAGGTTAAAACTCTTTACAATTCAGCAAAG